ACCTCTTCAGCATTTTTTTTTAATAGATATTATCATCAAATTCTACAACAAGACTTTCCAACACTAAAACAAGGAAATTTAGATAACCACATGATAACCAGAGCTACTAAGAACTTCAGCAATGAGAACAACCCTGCGATTATATTGGACATGGAGTCAAACTATGATACTAGAGATACAATTCATAAGAGAAGCAACACTCAGCAAACTTCAGGTATAAATATCCAATAAACTAACCAGACCAGAACAATAATCATACTTAACAAAACATTCAATATATAGAAACCATCTTCGTACTGATTCTAACGATAATCGCAAGTGATAGCTAGGGATTCTAAATTGAAAGCAGTTCTTTTCTCCAAGGAGCTAGTTATGTAAACAAATTAGTCACATTACGAGATAGAAAGCTATGCCATATGAAGAAAGTAGTCAAACAAGCTTTCTTACATTGCCAACATAAACTGATCGAGCATCCACCTCCTCCTTCTCTACTTGATTTGTACCCACACTAGCAGGATCTGAAAAGAACAAACACACACAAAATTTAGACACAACGGAAGCAAAACAGATCGAACATAAGAACTTCAAATCTCGAAAATGAGTCTCAGTATATCGAATTCAAACTACAGTCACGAGCAAAACGTATTCAATTTCTAGAAATAAACCACAAAACCTTGAACAGCTCCCATCTCTTTCTCGACTTTTGCCTGCATCTCCCGCAACGCAGCAGCTTCATCCTCCATCTCCTTCAATCTCCTTTTCATCTCATCAAGCTCCTGATTCCCCCCCAAAAATCAAACAGGATTTGATTACACAGACGAATTACAAAATCAAATCGAGAAAACACATATGAATCAGAAAACCGACCTTAACGGCGTCATCATCGCCGGCAGACATATCGATATCCGGATCGGGAACTTCCACCTCGCCGATCTCAGGGATGTCTCCTCCGTAAACCTCATGCTCTTCTTCCTCCATTACTTTTTCTCCACTCTTCTTCGCTCAAACTTTGCGCTAACAAAAACGATTACTGCTTTGCTCTGGTGAATCAAACCGACCGATCCAGATAAACGATTACTAAAACGACGTCGTCTTTAATGGGCCTCATGAACGGGAACTAAAAGGCCTGACCCAAAAACGAAGCGTTTCATTGTTTTCTTCTAATTTCGATTCGACCCTCGTTATTTGTTAGAATTTACATTATTAGTAACACAGCACCGAAAAACATGCGTCTGACACTGACACAGAGAAAAAAAAAAAGTTTCGAAATGAACGAATAATATTTCGACACGTAAGCATAGTCAAAGGGTTATACAGAGCTTTACCGCACCTGATCACTGCGTGTAAAG